AAGGGCGGAAAAGAAGTATTACGTCCCCACAAAGGGATTCGAATACCTCTACACACACCCACCAGCAGGGTCACTGGTTGTGTCCGCAGTTAATGAGAGGGACAGGTGAGTGGCACACTGAAAAATAAAGACGCCAAACAACTAGACCTCTTTGGCAGAAAGAATTATTCTATGTCCAGTCTACAATTTCAGGTGTCCAACCACCAAGCCTTGTTGGGCAGGTACAATTTTAATTTATGGGTCTCCCCGGGCAAGTTCAGGGAGGCCCTTCCACAGAACCTGGCCCACTAGTTCACCATGATCCTGGAGGAGGGCAGAGCGGTGGCAAAGGGTGCCTTCCAGGTGGCCTGGGATCCTAGAGACTCGGTCACCAGAGTGGTTGCCTCGGAGGTGGCCATGAGGCACAGCTCTTGGCTACAATCTTCAGGGTTATCCCAAGAGATGCAGGCCACGATCCAGGACCTCCTGTTTGAGTTTGTGAGGCTCTTCTCTGAGCTCATGGATGCAAGGCAGCATGGCCTTAAAGACTCCTGGACCACCCTGCGATTGCTGGGCCTCCATACTTCGCAGCAGGCCCGAAAGCAGTTCTGGCCTCCTCCACCTTCTCCTCCTAGGTCCTGGGGCTCTTCCTGGCAGGGTGCCTGCAGGAGAAAGGACAAAGACAAAGGATTTAAGCGATGACGCCCTTCGTCCTCTCCCTCGCCGACTCAACCTGGCCTTTTGAAACATCACGGGGGCCAGAGGCAGGAGTTTTGAAGCTGCACCTAAGGATGGCGCCCCAATCAAGTACCTGGATCCACCCTCCTATTCTTTCCTCAACTGCTAGCACCCCTTCCAGTTGGCATGGTCGCGAGTAACATCAGACAGTTGGGTGCTCAACACAGTATCCGTGGGCTACAACCTACAGTTCACAACTGCCCCTCCCTCCCACATCCCTCTTCAGGGACCCTTCTCACGAGCAACTCATTGCTCAGGAGGTGGAAAACCTAAGGCTGCGGGCGGTAGAGGAGGTCCCTCAGGATAGGAGGGGAAATGGATTCTACTCCCAATATTTCCTAATCCCGAAAGCAAAAGGGGACCTAAGACCCATCCTGGACCTGCGTTGCCTCAACCAACATTTCAGAAAGTTGAAGTGTAGGAGCAGGATTTTATAATTGTACTATGAGAATTAATGTATGATTTGGTTTTATTTTGTTAGCCATTTTTTTTAAATAGCAGAAAGAAATTACCCTTTGGGACTATGGGATTTTGTTTTTTATAGGCATTACAAATTGGGCTTTTTTAGTTTTTTGTTTTAAGGTTTAGTTAGTAAGAGACAGAATTTTGTATTGTATTTATGTTAAGTAAATTAAAGGAACGTTGAAGGCCTGGGCCTTAATCTGAATTGTTTTGGTTATAAAATTTAGCAAGGTTTAATTTACAATGTTATTTTGTTTGATATAAAATATTGCTGTTTGTATTTTTAAAGATTTTTGTAAAAGACTGTTTGTGTGAATAAAAAATGCATGCATTTAAAAAAAATAAGGTGTAAAGGCCATTATTAATCAAATGGTCCACACATAAAAAAGCAAAAACACTTATCAAAACTTATTAACACCAAAAAAACATCAATGCGCATCCATGATTGAGGAAGGGCAGATTGATGACCCTGAGGTAGAGGCTGGCACCCCAAAGATAATTAATTAAATCAAATCTGGGACAGAATGACCCTCTCAAAGGTGTTTTGGAATGTTAACATCAAAAAATAACACCAATTAAGGAGTAACCGGTCATAAACTGACATAGCAAAATCCATAAATTTCAACAACAACAAAAACTATAAAAACAAGCTGCTTTGCCATAGGCATTTGGGTTTGCCTTGCCACTACTCCAGGAGCATTGGATCGCGACCGACGGAGCCCGGCTCCCCTTTGCAACCAATCTGGCTGGCCACTAAATTAATCCAGACTCCGGTCTGGTAACTATAAACATCGACTGGCAGGATTGTGTGCATGGTGTGTGTGTGTGTGACTAAAAAGCATGGTCACACATACTAAAAGCATATGCTGGACCCCGCATCACTGCTGGAGGAAGTCCCCTTCGCAGCCCCATCCCCATCGGTTACCCTGGTCTCCGATGCTTCGGATCTGGGGTGGAGAGCCCCTCTAAGTGATCTTGGCATGCAAAGACATTGGTCGGGTCACGATTGCTCCTTACACATAAACTTCAGAGAGCTCAGAGCGGTCTGGTTGGCCTGTCAAGCTTTCCTGCCTCATATAAAAGGCAGGGTGGTTCAAGTCTGGATGGACAATACTGCCGCAGTGTTCTATATCAACAAGTAAGGCAGTGCCCGGTCCTCTGCCCTTGGCCAAGCAGCTCTCAGGCTCTGGAACTTCTGTGTGTTGTGGCCGCACACCTCCCCAGGGCCAGGAACACTTTGGCAGATCGCATCACAGGACTTTCTCATCTCGCCATGAGTGGTCACCATCCAGAAGTGGTCAGCCTAATCTTCCAGAGGTGGGGGACTCCCTGGGTGGACTTGTTTGCATCCAGGCAGAACAGGAAGTGCCACGCTTTCTGTTGGATTCGAGGGATTGACAGAGACTCCCTGTTGGACACTTTTCTACTCCTGTCGTCGGGACCCCTTATGTATGCCTGCCCTCCAGTGCCTTTAATCTACAGAATCCTTGTGAAGATCAAGCAGGACAGAGAAAGGTAATCCTCATAGCGCCGGCTTGGCAGCACCAGCACTGGTTCGGCATGCTGCTGGACCTCTCAATGGCCGCCCTATTACAGCTACTGCTCTTGCCGGACCTGTTGTCTCAGAACCATGGCAGACTGCTGCATCCGAACCTGACGGCCTGACTGTTGCATGGTTGAATGCGGATGAGCGGGAGTGTTCGGACAGTGTTCAGCAGGTCCTACTGGGCAGCAGAAAACCCTCTTCCAGAGCGACCTACCTGGGCAAATGGAAACGGTTTACATGCTGGACTTCAGATGAAGGTATTCAACCTGAGCAGGCCTCATTGCAGTTAATCCTGGATTATCTCCAGCATCTTAACTTCCAGGGTTTGTCCTTTTCATCTTTTAAGGTCCACTTGGCTGCTGTTTCGGCCTTCCATCCCCCGCTCACGGGCAGGTCGGTTTTTGCCCAGGACATGACTGCCAGGTTCCTCAAGGGCCTCGAATGCCTCTACCCTCACATCAGGGTCCCTGTTGCTCCATGGGACCTGAATCTTGTGCTGTCGTGGATCATGGGGCCCCCCTTCAAGCCTCTGGCTTCATGCTCCCTTCTCCACCTCTCCTCGAAGGTCGCTTTCTTGGTTGCAATAACATCTGCCCGCTGGGTCTCCGAGATTAGGGCACTTACCTCAAAGTCGTCCTACATGGTGTTTTACAAGGACAAGGTCTAATTCCGACCACACCTGGCCTTACTACCCAAGGTTATTTCACAGTTTTATAGGAGCCAGAACATAGTCTTACCTGTCTTCTTCCCTAAACCTCATAAGTCGGAGGAGTAGCACAGGTTGAATTCTCTGGACATCAGAAGGGCGTTAGACTTCCACATTGAGAGGATTAAGCCTTTTCGTAAGGCGACACAGTTGTTAGTCGCAGTGGCCAACAGGATGAAAGTTCGTCCAGTGTCGACTCAGAGAATCTCGTCTTGGATTACTGCCTGTATCCGCTGCTGCTATGACCAGGCCAAGGTGCTTCCTCCGGCTATTGTAATTGCCCATTCAACCAGAGCACAAGGATATGTGCTAGGCTGCCACCTGGTGGTTTGTCCACACATTTACATCGCTGTACACAGTTACCCAGCAGGCCCAAGATGATGCTGGCTTTGGTAGAGCAGTATTGCAAGCTGCATGACCATAAATTCTGAGCCCACCTCCATGGATGCTGCTTTTGAGTCACCTAGAATGGAATTGACATGAGCAAGCACTCAAAGAAGAAAAAACAGTTATCTACCTTTAGTAACTTGTTCTTGAAGATGTGTTGCTCATGTCCATTCCATTACCCACCCTCTTCCCCCTCTGTCGGAATTGCTAGCAAGAAGGAACTGAGAGGGTGCAGGGCCGGCGGCGCCTAATATACCAATGCATGAATGCGCCACTCAAGAGGGTGCCACAGCCAAGACTAGGGATATGGCAAAGGCAAAAATCTCTGACAACTGTGCACGTGGGCACACACCTAGAATGGAATGGATATGAGCAACATATCTCTCAGAACAACAGTTACAAAAGGTAGGTAACCGTTTTTTGTTTTTTTAAAGGTGATGGCACATATTAAAAATATATTATATTGTAATAACAGAGTACATAAAAGGTTGTTATGAAGCACAGCTAACTTCAATAAGAGTTAAATGTGTGTGCAGTCAGAATTAGGATCTGTGAGACTTTGACAACAGTAAAAACATAAGAATGGCCATACTGGGTCAGACCAAAGGTCCATCTAGCCCAGTATCCTGTCTTCCAATAGTGGCCAATGCCAGGTGTCCCAGAGGGAATGAACAGAACAGGGAATCATCAAGTGATGCATCCCCTGTTGCCCATTCCTAGCTTCTGGCAAACAGAGGCTAAGGACACCATCCTTGCCCATCCTGGCTAATAGCCACCGATGGACCTATCCTCCATGATTTTATCTAGTTCTTTTTTTAACCCTATTATAGACTTGGCCTTCACAACATCCTCTGGCAAAGACAGTGTTTATATTGTTTATGGTATGAAGAAAACAGGATTATATTTTTTTAAGTAACATTCTAATTTTAGTCCCTAATTCTAATATTTTAGGACTGTGTCATGGTTTTACTTTTTGCATTTTTATTGCTATTGGTATGAGCATACAGAGGAATTGTAAAAATATTTCTTTTCTTCTTTTGGTAGGGAACAGAAATGTTTTGTGGATGCAGTGAAAATTAGGCTCCATAGCCTAAACAACTGCATGTCCAGCAGTAAAGTAAAAGTAGCGTTTAATAATTGACAGTCTGGGTAATGTAGTTTGATGTTCATACCTTTACGCAGGTGGAGCCCGAGAAGTTGAAGACACTAACAGAAGGTCTCGAAGCCTACAACCGAGCCAGGAAGAGGAACAGAAAGTAAGCAGATGCTTATTCATTTACAAATTAATTAAAATCATGAAGTTCTCTTGTCTACCAAGAAACTCTCATTTCACTCCCAGAAGTATCCTTGACATCAGTAGGAATCTTGGCTGTATCAGGATTTCAGGATTAGATTGTTAGTTATTAACCTGCAACATATATGGAATGCATATCTTTCTGATACTACAGTAAGCTTCTGAAACCTGTGGCAGCACATGTGACAATTTAGGCTCAGTTTTCTTACAAGGGGAAGAGTGGACGATGGTAGCATAAAAACACAGTGGCAGCTTCTAACTATTCTAGTGTGTTTTATATCCAGATAATTTGCCTCTTCATTTTACTGCATGTCTGTCTGTCTGTGTGTCCTGGAGGAAAGAGGAAGAGAGAACAATATGATATATACCGCAATACTGTTTTTTCTGAAATCTGATGATCCAAAACTCTGGACTGCACTGACTAATGCACCATTCCTGTGGAGCACCTCAGCTCTGCAGGGCTGAAGCTAGACTCCTGCAGAAGTCCACACAAGAAGGTGATGCTTTACAATTATTAGGAGGAACAAAGGATCCTAGCTTCAGTCCTGAGGAGCTTAGAAGATCTGCAGAAATAGAGCGCCTAGTTTCTGAATTCCTGATTTTATGCAGGTTATGGATTTTGCAATTTTATAACTTTGTAATTTGGGGAGTTGTATGTATTCATTTTCTGATACACCAGCAATCTTTGAAAATGCCAGCACACCCATATGAATTTTCAAATGTAGATTTGAAACTTACACCTAAAATCATTCATTGCATTTTACTAAGTCAAAAGTATTCTGAACAAATACTATATGACTTTGTGACAAGCATTTTTTTTTTCCACACAGCACCACGTTGGTATGGAAAGGGTTACTTCAGATTAGTTCAGTATATTTTGTCATTGCTGGCAAGCTTTTCAGAATTCCTTAATCCCAGCTACGTTTAGTTTAACCAGACTGGCTGCCATATGCAAAGCTTTTATTATACAATATAACAAATGATGTATATTTGAACTAGTTGGTTTTATCTGTTTTTTTTGGACTTTATCTAAGATTTTACAAAACTAGGGGAGAGATTTTGAGAGATGTAAAATATGAGAAGAGGGGGAAAATATGGAAGAAAAGAGGAGAAGTAAATTGAGTTTAGGGGAAGAAGACCTAGACAGCTATAAAAAGATACAGAAATTGGCAGGGTTGTAGTGTGCTATTGTTTACTTGCTGTCACAATGACAATCTGTTGGCTTGTATCTGAACAGGAATTTGAAGTACTATAGGCTTATAATTCTTGTCTTCAAAACAACAAATACAGACTTAAAGGAATCAAATAATTACAGTAGAGCCCTGTTTATCCTATCTGGCCCTGGTTCCAGTTGGATCGGATAATCAAAAATTCAGATAATTAGGAGAATGGGCAAAGAGTTTTCTATATTTTGTTTTAAGATGCAGAGTTGCTTTTAAACTAGCTGACCCCTCCTGGAAAAGCCGCCTTCTTTATTTACAGCTTACATGAACCATTACTTCTAGTAAAGAATACCAGTTCCTAAAAATGCAGAAATGATAAACTCAAGCATTAAAACATAGCCCCCTTCTTTACAGCGTACACAAACCATTATTGATAAATAGTGCCAGTTTTTAAAAATGCAGACATGATCATTTTAAGTTGCAGCAACCCCAATACTCATGGTAACAACTAACAACAATAGCAATACGTAATATGCATAAAGTATTAAATTAACATACAGTATTGTATATAGGACAATGGTAAATACAGCAACACTCACATTTATAATGGCTGGGGAAAATCTGACAGTTTGTGATACTGTGCTTTTTCCAATGTTATAATCTTGGGCTATTTTTTGCCAGTGACTGTCCTTTATTTATTTTATTAATAATCTCTATTTTAGCATCCAATGATAGTACTATGAGATTTCGCTTAGTAATCGCAGTCATTTTACAAGGCTGAAAAGATGGGATGGTTACAGTAGTGTTGCCATGCAGATGATGTCAATTTCCCATATTCTTGTGTGTGCACTGGTGGTTTGGTTAATAGAGAGAGCCGGATAATGAAACTCAGATAAAAGGGTTTCTGCTGTACTTGTATTTAACGCCTTTTAAGGTGTAAGCTTTTCTTGTTCTCTGGTAGAGTGGTATTTCATGAGCAATATTGCTGATGCCAGTTAAAAATGCTATCCTTTCAGCACCATCCTGAAACATGTCTCTGGGTTTTTTATGAGTGCATGCTGCAAACATAAAAATGCCTTTGACAACATTTCAGTTATTTGCCATTAGTTGTCCCTGAAGCAAAATGTCTAGCACTAGGAAAATGACTCAATGAACAGCTTTAAAGATCTTATGAAAAAATCAGTTAAAAGTAGAGACCTTGCTGAATCTGGCTCAATATTTGTACATATGGAAACATTAGAGAATATTAAATGCAAAAATGTGCATTGGTGAAATGCTGTGGTTATACAAATGTCAGGAAATTCAAAGTTACAGTTCGCATAACAACCATGACTCAGCCTACCACCTTTCATGAATGTAGCAGTTTGTATTACTATCTATGGTGTTATCATTAATACTTATATATATGGAACACACAAAAAATCCATGTTAAATTAACATAATTATGCGACCCCCGAGCATGCCCAAATAAATTTGTTAGTCTCTAAAGTGCCACAAGAACTCCTTGTTGTTTTTGCTGTTACAGACTAACACAGTTACCCCTCTGAAACATTGCAAAATCAAGCACTCAAAAGTTAGGAAATGCCAGAATTAAGGTTGCCTGTGCATTCTTAATTCGGTTCCCTTGTGCATATGCGTTATGATACAATCTATATATTACATGATCATGTTATTTTTTCCATAGGACTGTCTCTTTCAGTGCATGCTTAATAAGTGGTTCTTCAATATTTTGTTTCCTCCTCATTGTTCAATAAGTGGCCCCATGCCTTGTTTACTACACACTATTCAAACCCTAGTCTGAAGACAGAATTTTTATTTCTCATTGGTTTTTTTCTATGATGCTCATCACAACAGTATCTGATTGGTTCACAAACATTAATTTATTTTCACAACATTCCTGTGAGATGGAGTATTATTATCCCCCTTTTACAGATTGAAAGCTGAGGCACAGAGAGATTAAGGTCAAAAGTGTCCCCTCATTTTGGGTACCCATTCTGAGATGCCTAGAACCAGGTTTTTCAAAGTCCTTGGCATTGTATAGCACTGTGTAAGTTAAAAACTCAGTCTCATTTACTTCAGTTGCAGCTGTGAGTGCTTGACATTTCTGCAAATCAGACTCCAGAGTCTCAAGTCAGGCACCCACAAAATGAGGAACATACAAGTTTGGTTTTAGTGACTGGCCCAGCATCACGTAGGCACTGTGTGTTACAAGTAGGGATAGAATCTAGTTCCCCAAGGCAGTATTCAACTGCCTTAATCATGAGATCATCTTTTCTCTTCCTGCAATCCACTGTCTCATTCACTACATACATTCCAGCTTTTGCAACAAATGAGGCAGGAGTCCTACAGACAACAGTCTCCTTCACTACACAGCCCCAATTCATTCCCAGAGCAGATCCATTCTGTCCAATAAATGAGGCAGGGGTCCTGTGCAGAAAATATTAAGTGATCTTGTAATTAAAGACTGTATCATAATTCATATACTAAAGGCCAAATTAAGGTTGCACAGGTGCCTTAATTAGGCAGTTGTTACTTTTCAGTACTTGACTTTAGAACTGTAATGTTCTTTTAATCAAGTTTTTGTGTATAATTTCCTAGGCTTTTTAAAAAAACAAATTGCAAAAGCAGAAATTCCATCATGTGACATCATATTGACACCCACATGGTTCATCAGTAGAGTTGGAACCTTTAGATCAACTGCACAGACCTCTATCAATCAATACTAGAGAAGGATGATACACTTTGTCCATGGGTTTCACAAATATTTTCTGACAGCAATGGAAGAGTGAGACTCAGGAATCTTGTGTTCCATTGCAGGCCCTGGAGGGGAGTGTGCTGTACTGGTCACAAACCCTTCTGCCATCTCCCCCCTCCAAGCTTGACCCTTTCTGCCCAGTTTCCCCCAACATGTCTCCTTGTCACCTCTCGTTCCTCACTCCATCCCAGGCTCCTCAGCGGTCCAGTCCTAGTCTTCCCTTCCGGACTCCCAGTCCCAATCTCCTTCCACTGTCAGCATCCAGTCCCAGTGTTCCAGTCCCAGTGTTCCACCTACTCTAGGCTCCTTGTCCCAGTCTACTCTTCTACTTTCAAAGGTCTTTCTCTTGTCCCCTCTACATTTGAATCAGTCATTTCCCTCCTCCACACTGCCTGAGCCTACCAGGGAGACATTTAGAGCACAGGAAAGACAGTCTCCCTGATTTCAGTTCCATTGCTGGGACTTGCACCCAGAGCAGCAATTTCAGGGAAAGTCTTGCTTGGCCCCAGGCTGGAGCATGCCCAATGTGGATGAACTCTTCTGAGATTTTAGCTGTTAAACTAGCATGTGTACTCTGCAGTTTTTCAAATGCTTATAACTTCACCAAATTTGAGTGGATTTTCACAGGGACAGCAAAAGACACCCCTGACACAAAGGACACCCCCTGTCAAATTTCTAGTTCCTGCTTCAAAGTATGGAGGCACGAGAGGTTTTAAAAAAAAAAGGATAGCCAAAATTTTTTAACATGGGCAAAACAATGTATTTGTCCCTAGCGTGGTGTCAAGTATCGGGGGTAACCATGTTAATCTGTATCCACAAAAACAACAAGGAGTCCAGTGGCACCTTAAAGACTAACATATTTATTTAGGCATAAGCTTTCATGGGTAAAAAACCCACTTCTTCAGGTGCAACCTGATGCGTCTGAAGAAGTGGGGTTTTTACCCACAGGAGCTTATGCCCAAATAAATCTGTTAATCTTTAAGGTGCCACCGGACTCCTTGTTGTTTTTGTTCCTAGCCTCATTCTCGGAAACATTTGAAGCAT